GGACTGTAACAGTTCCACGTTTAAATTTACACATGTAACTGTTTAATGAATCACCATTCTTATTCACCATTCACCATTCTTATTCACCATTCACCATTCTTATGCGTAAAACTTTGCAAAAAGAAAAGCTTAGTGTGCAAAACCAGGTACACGTGTTGACAGCAATTCATGAAGCAAAAGTACTAGAAGAATTGATTTCACAACTTAGACCCACCGAACACTCACCATTCAAACAACACCGAAATTTGCATATTCATTATTTGTAAAGTCTACCAGGAGGAAAAAAAACTTTTGGCAAAATTCCAATCCAAAATACTTTTTCCCTGGGATCACAAGTTACCCAAGCGTTCGCATTACTTTCCCATAAACTGTATCACCATTTGATACAGGTTCCTTCTTCCAGCAGTTCTGACAATTCATCCCGTAGAAATGAACTTTTTTTTTTTCGCAAAACTGAATCCAATTCCGGCAGCAGAAGGTTTTAACAATGAATTAGTAGGATTCTTTTAAAAGTGCCGCTCCTCTTCAGCAAAAGATCTACCCAGCAATTCTAGTCGTACAAGTTTAGGCGATCAATTTGAAAATAAAGATTGATCTCTGTTATCCGTCTCTAGACGGCACCCTCAAATCAATGAATATAATAAATCAGCTATTAAAACTGCTGTTTCAACATTGCTTATGGGTAAAAAAGCGTCAAAAAGGCATAAAGGATTCCAAATCCCAAGAAACGGATAAACGGGCTGTACCCGGAAAATATACCAAAAAATATGTTGCACTCTTTTTTTATCAAAAGCTTCATCGTTCTTTGATGTAGAAGTAAAAATGAAATTAACAGGTGATATTGTGAGCAGGATAATCAAAAAGTTTAATTTTATGACCTGAAAAGGAATGTTGATGATTCACGTATGTTCTTTTTGTGAAAAGGAATTTTTTATTTGTGGGCAGAAAACAGGCGATTGGTTTACTTTTAATAGATAGTTTTGTAAAAAAAAAAAAACATGTCCCATTGATATTTACAAATAACAATACGAATAAAGTTATATCAAAGAAATGGAGAGCTAAATCTACAACGAGAGGTAAGACTATAAGAACTGGAAACAATGATCTCAATGGCAACTACATATATAATTCGAAGATGCACGTGAATAATAAGAATAAGTTGAAACAGACATTTAAAGTGTAAATAGTAAAGCAACTACTCCGCAACCGATCAAAATCAACGACAGACCTCAAATTTAAAAGTGAACACTGGGAACAGCTAAAACATGTTGTCAAGTCTACAGACTCTTTTGAGGCAACAAATAGGCGTTTACGAAATCAACATTCATTGTAAGGAAGGCCAACTCATCACGCTTTTTCTTCCACACTGATTCCGACTACGCGGGTT